AAACATATGATGCTGCTAAAAAAGTGTTGAATAAAGCGCGTGAAAAGCTTCCGAAAGAGCCCGCGATTTGGATAACTGCAGCTAAGTTAGAAGAAGCAAACGGTAACACAACCATGGTTGGGAAGATAATCGAAAGAGGTATACGCGCGTTACAAAGAGAAGGTCTTGAAATTGATCGTGAAGCTTGGATGAAAGAAGCGGAAGCTTCCGAAAGAGCAGGGTCCGTAGTTACATGTAACGCGATTATAAGTAACACAATCGGAATCGGAGTTGAAGAGGAAGATAGAAAAACAACATGGGTCGCAGACGCGGAGGAATGTAAAAAACGGGGCTCCATCGAAACCGCACGCGCTATCTACGCGCACGCGCTAACCGTGTTTCTAACGAAAAAAAGCGTTTGGCTAAAAGCGGCTCAACTCGAAAAAGCTCACGGGACCCGTGAATCGCTCGACGCGTTACTTCGTAAAGCGGTTACTTACCGACCGCAAGCCGAAGTGTTATGGCTCATGGGCGCGAAAGAGAAGTGGCTCGCGGGCGATGTCCCGGCCGCTAGAGCGATTCTCCAAGAAGCGTACGCCGCGATCCCAAATTCGGAAGAAATTTGGCTTGCAGCGTTCAAACTCGAGTTCGAAAATAACGAGCCGGAGCGGGCGCGTATGCTTTTAGCTAAAGCGCGTGAACGCGGTGGGACCGAGCGCGTGTGGATGAAGTCCGCGATTGTCGAACGCGAATTGGGAAACGTGGAGGAAGAACGAAAGTTGTTAGACGAAGGGTTGAGGCTATTTCCGTCTTTTTTCAAATTATGGTTGATGCTCGGGCAGCTCGAGGAGCGGCTCGAACGATCAACCGACGCGAGGACCGCGTACGAGTCCGGGTTAAAACACTGCCCGAACTCAACCCCGCTTTGGTTATCCCTCGCCAGTCTCGAAGAGAGACTGTCGGGGTTGGGTAAAGTTCGGGCGGTTTTAACCACGGCGAGGAAGCGGAACCCGCAAAACCCGGAGTTGTGGTTGGCGGCGGTGAGGGTGGAGTTGAGACACGGGTCGAAAAAGGAGGCGGATAATTTGATGGCGAAGGCGTTGCAAGAGTGTCCGAATAGTGGGATTTTATGGGCGGCTTCGATTGAAATGGCACCGAGGCCACAACGGAAGACGAAAAGTTCGGACGCGTATAAGAAGTGTGAGCATGATCCGCATGTGATTGCGGCGATTGGGAAGTTGTTTTGGGGTGATAGGAAGGTGGATAAGGCGAGGACTTGGTTGAATAGAGCGGTTACTTTGGCACCGGATGTTGGCGATTTTTGGGGTTTGCTTTATAAATTTGAGTTGCAGCATGGAAGTGAGGAACAGCGGGAGGAGGTGTTGAGGAAATGTGTTGTGGCTGAACCGAAGCATGGGGAGAGGTGGCAGGTGATATCGAAGGCGGTTGAGAATTCGCATCAGTCAGTTGAGGCGATTTTGAAGAAGTTAGTTGTTGCTCTTGGGAAGGAAGAGAAAGCTGCTGAAGAGAATAAACATTAGTGACTTGTTTTGAGTTTTGACTTTGTTCTACTTCTGTAGACTTCCATTTTCATTAGCATTATATACGTTTCTATTTTTTGGTGTTGACTGTTATTTTGTTGGTTTATGTGAAAATTTGGTGATTTTACATGCGTATTAAGTGTTTGTTGAAATGTCTGAATGGGATTTTGTTGTGGATTGAGTGATTACAGGTCAGGTTGGAGTTTAGTGTTGATGCTGCTGATAATCTTTCAGGAAACTCATGTTTGATTAAGTTCTTTGCACAGCTTAATATGTAAATTATTTGATATTACCATTGGGTTTGTTTTTAGTAACATAAACGTAAGATCCATTATCGACTCAACATGGTTTAACAAGGTGATGGATTAAAGAAACTGAAGGCTCATTCAAGAAGACTAAAGATGGAGGATAGGAATGGGTTTGAAAAGGTCATTTAAATGGAGGTAGGAGTTGTTAAAGTTCATGAGCTGGAGTGGCCATAGCCGAGTCGGCTATTGGTTTTGGGTTGGGCCCATGGAACACCGAGGGCATGTCACTTGTAATGTATGGTAATCACTGCTTAGGCCTTAGGGAAGGACACTGTTGAAACTTGAAAAAGATGGAGAAGATAGTAGTTATGAATGCACTTTAGTTGTGCCATTGAACTTATCAATGAACTGAATGAAGTAACTTTTTCTAAATTAACATGAAGTGATGATCATTTGTAAAAATGTTCAATTCATGTCATGATGTTTTTTTCGTGAACATATATGATTCAATGTAGGAAAATGTCATGTCATGACAAGAATTTTTTTGTAAGTATGATATTGCAAAGAAGAAAGTTTGATGGGTTGGGACGTTATGTGGGAGGGGGTGGGTCTTGTGATGTCATTATTATTATTTTTTTAGTTTAAAAATATTAAAATATGTAAAAACATGAATTAAATGGCAGGGTTTTATACGGAAAAGTCTCATTATTTTGGAAATTTTTTTGATAAAAGTCGTATAGTTTTTTTTTAACAGAAAAGTCTCATTATTTTAAGAAAATCACATAATCTACTATTTGCTGTTCAAATGTAAAAATAGACTTTTTCGTTAATTTGGGCAAAATGCTAAATAATCGGGACTTTTCTGTTAAAAAAAAAAACTTTAAGACTTTATTAAAAAATTTCCCAAAATAATGAGATTTTTCTACATTAATCCCTTAAATGGTATAATAGTTATTTCAAATTTGATATGGATCAAATCTATAAAATATATCCTGTTTTAGATTGGTGTAACTGTGTAAGTATGGAGTTTTTGGATTTTATATATGGTTTTTAGAAAATGGACAATTTTTGCAGCTTATTCAAAAGTAAATTAACAATATATAATGTCCATTTAAGTATTTTAAAGACAAATTCCACGTTTTGTGTTTTTGGATAAATGATACAAATAGAAATTTTTTTGGACCTTATCCTGTTTTCAACAAATTTTAGGAACTAAATTTGCAGTTTACTCAAGTTTTAAGGCCGGTCAGAATGATGTCATACTTGCCCCAGTCCACGTAGACGCCATGTCAGATTTGCCACGGTCCTTCAAATTTTTGTCATTTACATGACAAGGGTTGTCACACATGTCATTGTATTTTTTTTTAAAATTAATTAATTTTAAAAAATAAACATTTCAAACATACAAACTTTTTTTTAAATTAAAATTTCATTAACTTCAAAAAAAAAAAACCACACACTTACACTTAAAAAACAAAACACATTTGAAATTAAAATAAAATACACACTTAAACTAAAAAATATAACACATTTGAAATTAAATTAATACACACTTAAACTTAAAAACATAGCACACTAGGAAAAAAAAACTTGAATTAAAAGACAACAAATTTAAATTTGCGCAAATTTTGGGGACTACTTCATAATTTGCCAAAAACTCAACAAGCCGGAAATCTATGTTAGTTTCAACACAGTAAGCTTCAAGAACATTCTCTAGCAAAATATTTTTATTTTCACCATTTCCAGCTTAATGCATCACCATACGAAACAAACTGTTAAACTGAGTTGTAAGTGCTTTTCCGTGCCTCCATTTGGAGTGGATTTCTTCTATACCTGGAGGGACCGGGGCTTCACAGTTGTATTTTTTGGTGACTCTCCTCCAAAATGCAGTTGTAGGGAGGTTAATGTGGATTGAGTCTTCTGTAACATCAACGCATGCACGAGCCAATAACATCTCTTCTTTCGGGGACCAAAAACGAACCACACGAGACATTAGCGATGAGGTTTTGAAGAAGATAAAAAATAAGAAAGTTAGGAGAATTAGATTAAGAAGATTTGAATGGGGTGAAAAATAAATAAGGATGATGATATTTATAGTTGAAGATTGAGGGTTTAAAATTTGAAATTTTGAAAAAAAAAACGGTTATATTCTTGAAATTAGGTGTTTTTTTTTTTTTTTTTTGAAAAGAATGTATTTTTTGAAAAAATGAATTTGAGTTAATGGGTAAAAAAAGAAAAAGAAAAACAGTTTCTCTCATCGATAAAACATTATCGAGTTGCCGATCCGAACTTGACATGTCGAGGCTTCAACCCGTTGTTCGCCGAGATTGCCGAAGTCGATGCCGAATCCACTTCGATCAGCCTAACTACAACCTTCACCAGATTAATCTAGTAAATTTAACTAAATTAACTTTAACTTAACCTTAAATTTCATTAATTTAATTTAATTTATTTTTTATAAAAATTCATTTAAGGTTAAAACTTTTCCCCAAAGATGTTATGTTTTTAAACATTAAAATTAAATACATGTATTATTAGATAACAAAATCGTTAGGAAATTTCAAAACATAGATCAAATTTGCAAAAAAATATAGAGTAAATTACACGAATGGTCCTTATGGTTTGGGATAATTTACACGTTTGGTCCATTTCGATCGGCCTAACTACAACCTTTACGCATTAGATAACAAAATCGTTAGGAAATTTCAAAACATAAATCAAACTTGCAAAAAAATATAGAGTAAATTACACGAATGGTCCTTATGGTTTGGGATAATTTGCATGTTTGGTCCCTAACTTATTTTTTAACTTGGAAGGTCCCTACTGTTTTTTTTGTTGCACGTGGTCCCTGTCTTACCTAAAAAGACTATTTTACCCTTGATTTTTTTAATATATTTAAATAAGGTGGGCTAGGTATGAAAATGTAAAGTGAGATGGAGGTGGAGGTGGGGTTAGAGGTGTGTTTATTTAAATAAATTAAAAAATCAAGGATAAAATAGTCTTTTTAGGTAAGACAAAGACCAAGAATGCAATAAAAACAAACAGTAGAGACCTTCCGAGTAAAAAATAAGTTAGAGACCATACATGCAAATTACATCAAACCATAAGGATCGTTCGTGTAATTTACTCAAAAATATATTTTAGGATAAAATGATAAAAACCAGTATAGGGACCAAAAATGTAATTTACTCTAAAAGTTAACTTCGTTAGTGTTTTATCCATGGATTCTAGCATTCAACAAGAGGGTTGGATCGGGTATTTTCTACAACGAGTGGAGTGGAGTCTCGTCTTTGAAGTCAAATTATTCATTCATCAGCTGTGGAGTTTAGAGAATCGATCGATTGTTCATAATGTGGAAGCTAATTTACGCAGTAATCTTGCTGTTCGTATGTTCAAGAGCAGAAAAGCTGAGCTCCAAAGAGTGTGAGGAGCTAGGGTTTACAGGTCTCGCCCTATGTTCCGATTGTAATGCTCTCGCCGAATACGTCAAGGATCAAGGTCTTCTTCTTCTTCTTCTTCTTCTTCTTCTTCTTCTTCTTCTCCTCTCTCTCTCTCTCTCTCTCTATTATTCTTTGTTGATTCGCGATCTTATATGGTCATATTGTGCGCACGAAGCATATTATAGTCACAGTTATTCGTGTTTGTTGACATGCTGGATTTAATTGAGTTGATTTCGTATTTTGATCGGAAATTTTTGTGATTCTATCCTCTAATTACCACTCTATTCCTCTCCCTAAGAAAAGCTACTATCTGTGAAATTGATTATGGATGCTCAAATTTTTCTGAAAAGATGTTGCCTACTGTATTAAAGCTTATAGTTATACAAAAGAGGTCTGTTGGTGTTCAAATTTCAATAAAATCAATAGAATTATCCTTTCTGGTAGTAATAGGTTTTGACATCTAACCATAAGAGAAAGCTCTGTTGAAATCAAAGAGAAAGAATGAAAACCCAAAATCAATGTATAATCTTTAGCACCAGCTTTAAATCCAACACTTTGTTAGAAATCAGATTGAAACAGAAGATCGTATCTCATCTCTACAGCATGATTTTTACACTTATTTGATTGATTGCAGAACTACTCTCTGATTGCAAAAAGTGCTGTGCTGAAGATTCTGATGACTCCATTAGCAAGGTCTCAAAGCTATACTTTCTCTCATACAATCCAGACTTTCTTCTATATCATCTAACCCTCATGGATTACAGATAATCTACTCTGGTGCTGTTCTTGAGGTTTGTATGAGGAAGCTCGTGTTCTATCCAGAAGTTGTCAGTTTCATTGAAGATGAGAAGGAAAAGTTCCCTTCTGTTAAAATTCAATATCTATTTAACGCTCCACCAAAGTTGATAATGTTGGATGATGCTGGACAACATAAAGAAATCATAAGGTATGATTTTTTCTTAGTTTCATATGATTGTTATCAACAAAATGTTGAAATCCTAAATGGTTTGATATTGTCATTAATGATTAATTATGTTTAATGTAGAATTGACAACTGGAAACGTGAACACATGCTGGAATTCTTGAGGGCAAAGCTGAAGCCAATATCAGCAATTTGATTGGTCAGTTTGCTTATGGCTTATGCAGTATCTCATTTTGAACAATTTACTAAACTATTTTTGCAACTTATAGAACAATTATTTCTTCCTTTTATCATCTGTTATATTCTACACTAGTTCATAGATATGCAAGATTTTTAATGCATGATTAATCATTGCTTCCTACCCGAGATTATTATAACTGTGAAGTAATTTGAAAGTGCTATAAAATCATGAAATCTCTAAATCGGATATCTTCGGCACTTTTATGTCGAAACTCGTCAAACAATGAAGCAACATGTAAATCTTCTACTAGTTCATGTAAATCTTTGACACTAAAACACAAAGAACATGTTTGAAAATTTAAAACCTACATGTAAGGATATATTGGTTGGAATTTTGTTTTAGCATCTTTTGTAGTGTAGAAATATGTATAAAATATACATACATAGTTCATTGACTTTCTATAAAAGCTGACATGTTCGAAGCTCATCATGTGAAACTCTATATTTTTTTTTATTGATTTCTCTTTATCTAGAAAGGAAGAACAAGTTTGAAACCGATGAACATGACAGAAAACTTTTAGATGTACGAAACTCAATAACATATTATAAATTGCTTTTTTTTTAATTGTTGTGGTTTTATTATAACGTCATCGCTTTTACGATGCCAATTTGATTTTAAAAGGCTAGTGATTCGTGCACAACATTTTTTTTTCGTACACAACAATTTATGCTTTATAGAATTGTACAATACAACAATTTAAAACACAATTTGTTATGTATGGAGAAAATTTGTTGTATACGAATTAGTTCTCATTTTAAAATTTATATTTATACTATTATGAAGGAAACATTTTTTTTTCCTTTGATCATATTCATTTGAAACCCTCTGACCCTTTAACTTTCCATCTTATATATTAAATTTATTAATTTAAGCATGTTATTATATATAGAATATTACCATATTAATTGTAAACTTTTTGAATTATCAATATAATATATTTAATTTGTTAATTTAAATATGATATTAAATCCAAAATCTAAATCAAAATATCAAATAAAATTAAAATAGACAGATTATTTTTTAAAATAGCTAAAAAAAGGCTTAAATGTTTAAATATCAATATGAATTGATATTTATTTGAAACTCCACAACTTTACATTGTTAATATTTCAAATAATCAAAAAAAATAAGTAAATAAGTAATTTTTAAATTAATTGATCATAAGAATAGTTAAAAGTAACACAAATCAATATTTAATTTTAGTTTTATTAACATGCAAGCTTTGAGTAGATGTTATTGAATATTATAATAATCAATTTAGTGTAAGAATTATTATTTTATAGTTAATGTGAATAACATAACAGTTGAAGATGCTTGCAGTCACTTGATTAAACTAAAATGGAAATCGTTGTACATTTGAAAGTTGAAGATGCTTGCAGTCACTTGATTTTTGTTTATTGAGTGATATAGGATAAGAAGCGTATCATCTCCTTTACTTATAAATATTTTTTCCTTCAATTAATTATGTTTCTTGAGAGATGCGGGATACGAAACATAAAAGGCCCAAGGGAAACATTGCTTCCATATTACTAGTTGAGGGAAAGTTCGAAAGACTTTGTCTTCTATATAATAAAGAGATAAAAGAGAATGTATGCAATAATAACCTATAAGAAGTACATGTTGATTACATGTGTTTACTTTTTTTTAAAGCCGACAACGTTGACATTAACATAATAGTTGTGATAATTTTGATAGATCACTAATACATTTCTATATATTGCATAAATGTTTTCTGTAAACAAATGTAAATATTTTTTTATCCAATCAATCCATTTAATAATAAACTTATTGTTTTTAAGCACAAACCATTCAAACGAATAATCAACGATACACTCAACTATCACATTCTTTTTTATCCCAAAAACAATATCATTACGATATGGACAAAGCATCCACCAAACCAAGAATATGATACCTCCATTGCCATGCTTTTGGTCTTTGAAATTGTACATGCCTCCATCCAAATGAATATGCTTTGAGAATTTTTGAAAACTTGTATCCATATATTCACTCATCTACCAACCGCCCCTAAACATTATTAGACACTTCACAATTAAGAAACATAGGCTCAGGCTCTTCGCTTTCCAACCCCACATCATACATAGGAATGAAGGACATCTACCTCTCTCTTATCAAGATTCACTCTAGTCGACATCCGATTAAAAAGCAACTGCCACTATCAACCTTTTGGGGAATAAACTTATTCCATTTAGAGGCATCATTTTCGTCTGACAACATCAAATCATCAATGCAACTCCGAACCCCTTAAACTGAAAAAAAAAGTCAGAATTGTCAATGTCCCATGTGTACTTGTCTTGACCTTTGGATATTATGCATTCACAAGCAAACCTTATAACTCCACAACAACCCCATATCAACCCATGTGTACTTTTCTTGAGGAACAATATCAGCTTGAAGAGAAGGAGACGGTTTGGGGAAAGTTCATCTTGGATCATTGGCTCAGTAGTATCTCCAATAGGAAGGGTTGATCCACGAGGTACAATGTCATCAGCAAAGAACGAGGATGAAGAAGTAGTTGAAAAGCAAATGTGCTTGTTCAACCTTGGAGGTTAGTTCATTTTCTGAGTGAAGTGTTCTCCCATGTCAACGGTTGATTATTATTCATCTTTATCAGTGTCTTCTTCCTCATCAACCTTTTCTTTATTACCAGCTTCTGAATCATCATAATTCTCATCATCATTATCTTCTTCATCACCAGCATCATCATTATCATCATCATCATCACTATCTTCTTCATTACTAGCGTCATCATTATCATGATCCTCTTCAGAATCTGAGGATTCAACCACATAGGGTTTTTCAATACACTTTTGCATCCTTGTAGTAATAGGCAAATCACCCTGAGATGGAACAACATTGATAATTTTTTAGGAGATGGCAGGAATATGAATAATAATTCCATGACTTTCAACATAGCCTTCTTTTTGAGACAAGATCAGACCAAGCCAACGAAGATAAGGAACATTCAATGGCTTCTTGTTTCCAGTAATGCAGTAAATCGTTTGATCAAGAAAAATTTGAGCAAAGTCCATTCTTTTGTTGTAAACGATGGAGTATAAAATCCTTTGCTCAGTTGATCTAAACTCCTAGTCTTGTGTCTAAGACATTTCCAGTTACACCTGTTAAGTACTTCCACCCTACATTAAAACATTGACGAAGAGTGTTCTTCTATGGATCACGAGTGAGGCCTGGAAGATGGAAGTTATACCCTAATTTTTGAAGAACAGATTTACAACTTTCTTAAGAGGGAGCTTCAGAGTAATTTTCGAATCGAGGAAGACGAAGAGCAGTTCGAAAGGATTTCACATCAATGGTAATCCTATATTGACTATCTCCAATGGTTCCAGTGATGGTTCGAGCAACAGTATCAACAGAGCATGTATAGTAAATCTCACATACTTGTTTAGGGTAGAAAGGGTCCGGGAAATCACAAAATGCATATCGAAGAAGACCGCTCTTGACATAGTCGACAAAGTCCTTGATTCCCGAGTTTGCAAAATGCTTTGGGATTTCATCCGAGAATGCCACATTTGTTGATTAAATGATGATGGTAGAGTCAGGAGCATGAGGACCTTTGATGGTGTTATCGCTGGGGGCAAACTCGTACAAAGACTTTGACATGGTGAAAGCTTTGAGGGAGATGACGATTTGGAGTCTTTTTTAGAGAGAGATCTTAGTTGCTTGAATTGCTTGTAAAAGTGGCCTAGGATGAAGAATTCCCAATTTATACCCAAAAAGTTTCTTCCTTTTACGTAATCATGAGTGACAATATATGCACCGTAAAGATCTCGTATCCCAAGATAATGAAGAATCTTTTTAGAAGTTATCCAAAAAGTTATCGATAAGACAAGGAAGTTACATCAGTGAGACAAGTCATCAGCAGCAATGAGCATCAACTTAAGCGACCAACGAATGAATTTATGATGATCATATAGTTAGTTTGTGATGTCTCCGGATAGTCTGGGATAAAACTACCATTCGCCGACATAGTATTGCGAGATCTCATTAGCGTGTGGTTTCAAAAGCTGAATCATAAATCTCTTTTATTAGAAGAAAAATGGCAAGAGTGGATAGGTGCGTGTAATATATCACGGACAATGATATACCCATCGACACAAATTTTTTAAGCTCTCATCAGCGTATGGTACATTACGATGAATCATAAAACTTTAAAGAATAATGTAAGGGCAAGAATGGACAATAATATACCCATCGACACAGATTTTTCAAGCTCTCATCAGCATATGGTACATTACGATGAGTCATAAAACTTTAAAGAAGAATGTAAGGGTAAGAATGGATTGGTGCGTGTGATAGCCTACGATACATAAACTAACCATCGACACAAAGTTTCAATCTTTCAGCGGTGTGTGGTATATCACAGTGAATCGTTAAGTTTTATTAAGAAGATAAAGGAGAGAATGGATTGTTTCGGTCACGTTGAGGTGAAATCAGTGTGAATCATTAACAATTTAACACATCAATAAGAAGTGGTTTAAACTTTCGTATCATAGAGTAATTTGCAATCTAAAGTCAAAGATTCACCGTTAATTCATAATGGTACCATGTCATACCTCAAACTAGGAGGTCAGAGACATTAACAACCCTTTGTCATTTAAGGACCTAACAAGTATCTCTTATGCTGATGATTATGTAATCAGAGTAAGCCATTGGGTTATGCTCAATGTTTCAGCAGAACATGAGACATGATGCATACGGCAAACATGCTTCCAGGGACAGGGTCAGGTAAGGATGATTAAATTAAAAATAAACACCCAACCTTTTTATTAATATTTTTTTTACTTGGACCAGGAAATCTCACTTTGAGAGTTTAGACAATGCTAGACAATCAGCGTGAGTGGGTGACTCAATGTTCTCAACAGATGATCTCGCTGATGAGAAACTTAGAGAGATTTAGTCACATACAACAACATGCTTCTAGGGACGATGATGTGTCAAAAGTTGCATACTAGGCTTAGAATTGCCACCGTCAGATTCTTTTTTTTTTAAATGGTACAAAAGAATAAACAATATAAGAATACAAACAAAATAGTTAGTCAAACAAGAAAAATAGTTTAAACAACGAAA